GATTGCCACAGAAGCTGCTGTGAACCTGGCTGAGCTACGAGACCCCGAGCACGACAAAGACCGGGTCACCAACCCCAGCTGGGTCATCGTCATTGGGGTATGCACGCATCTGGGTTGTGTGCCCATCGCCAACGCTGGAGAATACGGTGGTTACTACTGCCCCTGCCACGGTTCCCACTACGATGCTTCTGGACGTATCAGGAAAGGTCCCGCCCCCCTGAACCTGGAGGTTCCCTACTATGAGTTTCAAGATGAGGATACCTTGGTGGTTGGATAGAAACTTTTGGCTCCTTTGTCGTCATTCTCACTAGAGTATGGTCGACACTTTTCTGTTGTCAGTTAATTTCACGGCAGAAAGGTAAAGAAATCAAAACCAACATTCAGCCATTTCCTGCAGATGAGGGAACCGATGAGCCAGAACATTTAGACGCCATTCAGTCCTGCTTATTTATATCCACTCTAAATAACCATGTACACTCCTGAATTTGTCTTCAGATCCAAAGCTTCAACTATTGTCCCACGTGGTCTCTCTGCTACATCCATCCTGAGAATGCACTGGAGGTCACCTGCTCAGCTGACATGTCGTCAGCTGCTTCTCGGCTGCACTTTCACCTTTGACTGAAACCTTTCACTAGTTGATTCCATGCTCTGGTGATTAGTGGGTTTTGTCATTGTTTGGGGCACATGGTGATTATAGGGGAAAGCCGCTTATGTTCTGACCGTAGGCAGTTTGATTCCAAACAAGACACTTAATAATTTGGGTGTGTCAGCATCTTTAAATGGAAAGAAAAGTTTTGCTGCAAGAACGGTTGGATATACAAAGAAAATGTAATCGAAAGTAGGAAAATGCTCCATAAACACGCAAGTTTAGGATTAGATACAGCCAAGATGTGGGGAAAAAAGAACACGACATGTCGTAGACTTGACGGTTCCGGTCATTTCTAAATGAGCTTTATGATCTGTGTACTTCAACTACATCATCTGCTTATTTCTCTTACATGAGGATATAAAGATTGTTCACGTAATCTCTGTAACAGTGGCCTCTGTGTTCAAGCTCATCAGCTTCTCTGCCTCCAATATTTCTGATGTCATGATACTGGGAACAGTGTTTAGAAAAGTACAGTTGTATTTAAAAGTAATTAATGCTTCATATGATAAAACTGTTACCTGTTAGTTTGAGTTTAAAGATTTTAAGATCACAGTTATCAGGAAAATATAATTCTGAGTGAAACCTGTCAACAACTACATGCTTTCCTCTGCTTTCCTGAACAAACCTGTGCATCACAGTAATACATCAACAAACAGGAACAAATGTTGTATTCACGTGTGGTGGTAATAAATATCTCTATTTTATTTGATGGCTTGTTTTGGTGTTTAATCTGTCTTTGCATTAATTACAAACTCTAAAGTCTGAAATTTTCTGCTGGATCTGTCGTTGGCTCTACATCTTAGTGGTTTCCTAATGTAGTGGTTATCACACATGTTGCTGTAGATCTGCTATTAACAACTCAAGTTTGCTAGTTTGTAATCAATAAAGTTGAAAACATTAATTATTATTATTAAGATTTTCATTGTTGTGGAGAAATTAGTGATGCATAATATGAAATGTATGGGGAGGGGGTTCCAGTCACTCTTGTAAAAAAAATGCATGGGTCTTACCTTGATGCATTCCAAATAAGTCAGCAGTCACGAAACCAACGTTGTCTTCCCTAAGAACCATGTGAGCTGGAATAAAAAGGAATAGTGAAGTTAATATACCAAAAGGTTAGTGAGCTAGTTTCTAACATACACCTGGTGTGATATATCTGTGGATCTGCTACAGGCTCTACTATGTTGTTTTCCTAAACATGTTTGCAGTGTCACCCTCCACCTACAAATCAATACATCCATCAGAGCCAGTTATATCCACTAAGCTGCTATTCTCATCCAGCACAGAAATAAAAAGACAAATCAGTGTTACTCTGCCACTGTGACACGATTTTTAAAAAATCCCCCCCAATGCTACAGCTCTGTGCCCTGTAGGGGGCATGATCTCCACATTTATATCAGCGTTTACACCAACTACTTCCCTGTTGTAATAGGTTTCCTTTATTCAGGCCTAGCCCACATCACTGGTCCACTTCTTTTACTGATATGGACCAAGTACCTGTTTGACTTCAGTCACAAAATATCCTCCGTAATTAAGTTCTGAAGGTAAAATTTTACTTTCATTTGTTTTATCTGTGCAGGTATCTGACCAATGAGTCACAGACCTTCACTATCTACACATATCTGTCTAAACAGTAACCAACCCACAGGGTCAAAGACCCGAGAGGCGGCTGTCAACAGAACTGTTAAAAGGCCGTACGACACAGTTAACTCTGAGTCACATTTCTTATTGTGTTTTAAATGAGACGATTGCCTGAATTGTTTGATCGTTAAGATGAGATGCCGTTAAGATAACTTCAGCCTTCAGTCCATAAATGGGCACGTGAGGTCGCCCGTCCACTGAAGTGTCTGTACGTGTGCAGTACATCGTACTGTTAGAACCTAGCTCCTCCCTCTGAACTTTGGAAACGTTTGTGCTTTCTGCTGCTGAACGTTCACATGTTCTCTTCTCTTCGCCTCAGCCACAAAAAGAGCATCATGACAAGTGAGTAGTCACCGCTGAAGTCACTGCACGGTAGATTAGAATTATCACTGGTGGAGTGATTTCACCACTCACTCTCTGTCTGTCTGTCTGTCTCATAACATCTATCTGTCTGTAAGTCTTTTATCTTTGTGTCTACCTGTCTGTAAGTCTTTTATCTTTGTGTCTTATTATCTGTCAGTCTTCTACCTTGGTGTCATTTTGTCCACCTGTCTATCTGTCAGATATTATCAGGTGATGTACTACTGCAATACTGTATATACAACACTATGATGCTGTATATACACTATATTGTGTTATAATTAATTGACTGTGAAGTGATGTCTTACCCAGCTCACAGAATCTAACACAGCCCGTTAGCCTGTATGGTTACAGTTGTAGAACACAGCAAACTGTTTATAAATGTTTAGCACGTACGCTAGCTCAATGTTCCCCAACTTTTTTTTTTTTTTTGCCATGACATATTTTACATTAGAAAAAGCCCACGGTGCATGAAATCAAATAAATTCAATTTCCTTACTCGGTGAAATCTGGGCCTGTTTAGTTGAACAAGGTTTCCTTAGTGTGACTAAAGTGATATTTCTTTCTGCTCCTCTGCATTTGACAAACGAGGAAGGCCTAACAGGATGTGAAAAACTGTCTGATGTCATTTTTCATTTTTATTAATCTCGGTCTCAGAGAATAGAAGTTAAAAATGACAAACTAATTATTATAAATACTTTCTTTTCTTTAGGAGCGTCAGATGTCTTCATTTTGCTGTTCCTCCTCCTCTCAGGTAATTTCATGCTCATTTAAGCACATTTGTGGTTTTTGTGTTTCCATCGCTCAACATAAACCCTGTCACCCTCACCCCTGCAGGGGGGAGGGCCTTCATGATTCACAACACCCACCACAGCCTCTGTCTGGAGGACTCACCTTCAGGTCAGGTACTGTTGAAGAGGTGCAGCCTGGACTCAGAGGACCAGCAGTGGGTGTGGACGTCAGAGGGACAGCTGATGTGCGTTGGATCATCCAGGTGTTTGTCAGCTGAGCAGAAAGACTCGGTGAAGAGCAGCTCCTGTGAGGGGCCGGAGGGGGAGGCAGCGGGGTTACTGTGGGACTGTGACAGGGACAGACTGGTCAGCCGGGACACGTCTCTGCTGCTGTCAACTGATGGTCATCGCCTGACCCTGAGTCTCCATGGACAACACTCAAGGTGGAGATCTGTGGACAAGGGCGACATTTGCCAGGAAAAACTCAGTAAGTTGTGGAGAAATCCTGAACAATAATTAGCACCTCTGAATATATCTGATATCTTATGTTATTCTGATAAACTAACTTCTTTATTGTCATTAAATGTATGAATTCAGATAGATAGATAGACAGACAGACAGATAGATAGATAGATAGATAGATAGATAGATAGATAGATAGACAGACAGATAGATAAAAAAACTTCTGTTTCCTGATGAAGTCAAAATGCTAGCTCGTGACGTAATCCGATTCTGAGCAAAGGTAGAGGTAACATCCATGCTAGCTCGTGACGTAATTCGTGATTCTGAGCAAAGGTAGAGGTAACATCATTTTAACGTATAAAGCATCTGTACAATATATATATTTTAATTATATTTATTTTTCCTGTTGTATTTCAGGACTCAGGAGGTCATCCGATGATCCAGATGATTTTCAGGTGGCTGATGACAAGGCAGCAGAAGTCGACAGTTTGACTGAGGAACAGAAGGCGTATCTTCGCTGGTACTATCGAACGGAGGATCGTAAGTACCAATGCTGCTGTACTACTAATACGACCGGACGATGTTCCGTAGTATATCGCAAACTTATTGTTAATATCTGAAGTAAAAGCTTATAACTTACACCTCAGTACTTTACATTTGCGGTAAAATTTGTATTCGACATGAATCATATTCACTTAGTAGCCGTTGTAGTTTTAATAATTCAAATTAACAAATGGCGCGAAAATATTAAAATGTAAAATCCAATGCAGGTCAGATATTTTCAAAAGAAAATGTTTTAATATTTGGAAGTGAAGTGCAATATCTTTGTAGTAATATACGAAATCTACCAGTTATATGTGCAATTTTGTAGTTCTTCCTCTTTGGCGTTTGCATTTCTAAATTTCACCAGTAGAGAGCGATGTGGAGCCACATACATCCGTACATTGGTCAAATGATTGTTATTCCTGTTGCAGCCTCAACATGGAAGTTTGTTCTGCTCGGTGTGGCCTTCGTCTGTCTCCTTATTGGTTTTCTGCTGCTGGGCATGGGTTCCATGGCCAACAAGTAGGACCTGAACTTATTCCTCTTATTATGTTACATTTGTACATTTGAACTGTTGTTAACTGGTAGTTTCCCTGATTTCTTCTTCTCCACAGGAGCAGAAAAAAGATAGCAAAGTACAAGGCAGCAGCAGCAGGATCTCTGATCAGGAAAAACGGAACTGAGGAGCTGCAGATGGTCTCGCCCCTCAAAGAAGACGGAAACTTCAAACCTCCACCATCTCCAGTCATGCTGGGAAGCAAAACCGTCTCCACCAATGGAGAGGTGGATCAGCTCGGAGCAGGAGCTATCACGATCACATGGAAAGATGGAAACACCTCCTGTCTGTACCCTGATCCTGAGGCTGAAGCACAGGAGGAGGTGGAGGAGGAAAAACAGGAGGTGGTGGTGTCGGTCGCGGAGACCCATGCTTACGATGAAGCAAAGATGATGGAGTGAAGAGTTGAGATTAAAGAATGGATGGATCATCTCAGCACAGGGCGGAGGAAGTGGTATTACAGTAGAGTTACTGGTTTGATACTCAGAAGTTACAGCACATACGTACTGTACTCAGCAATCCTACAGGTGTCTTTTTTATTTTTCTAAAGTGTCTAATAAACAATATATCATAAATATTGTCTCTGGTATTTTTTTATCATTTATATTGGTATTTATGGCTTTAATTCTTTTGGGTATATGTATATATTTAAACTGGATATAATGTATATATATATATACATACACTTGTGTATGTATGTACAGTCTATATTTACATATATTAAATATATTATGTATGTACATGTATATATAAACATATACATATATTTATAAATATATATATATATATATCCTAATGGTTGTATTTTATAAGTCAGTACAGACGCTCTCGGTGAACAGTGCGGCGAGGCCTGCGCTCAGTTTCAATGACGGGCGTGTTTAATGTTATCAAGAGCGTCAACCTACTTTTGCTGCTCAAGGACAAATCTTCAGCTGTCCCCAAAGTGTCATCCACAAACAAAGAGCAGTACGTACGCTGCCATTATCCAGCTCCTGTTTCTCCCCTGGCTGCATGTCATCATCATAATCTTCAATAGTGTCACATGTCTGCTGCCTGCTATGTATAGAGTCTGTTCTCAGTGCTTTGCTGTGGACAAGAGGGGATTCAGTGGCACAAGTTGGTAAGTGCTAAACCGGTGCAGATATGTTGCTTTTAGTCCGAACCAGACGGTGAGCAGAAGATGAAGTGAAGCTCTGCAGCGGGGAGGTGATGGAGTCCAGCAGCTGTAGGTCACCATCATCACACAAACTCAGGATCAACATTGATGGAAATTCTTTCTTTGTGGACAGAAGCACCCTGTCTGAAAACTGTGAGTACTTCCGAGCGTTGTTCCAGTCGGGGATGATCGAGTGCCAGAGAGAGGAGTTCCAGCTGCAGTGTGTTGGGGTTCTGGGCTTCTCCGTTCTGCTGCGCGTCCTAAATGGGGAGCGGCCAATTCTCAACAGTGACCAAATAGTGGAAGCCATCGAGTGCACGGCTTTTCTGCAAGTGCCGGCTCTCACCAAGCATTTGATCAATATTATCAACTCTGAGAACTGTTTGCTTATGTACCACACCGCCGCCACCTACGGTGTGTGGGATCTGTCCCACAGGTCGGCCTTATTCATCAGAGACATGTACACAGACCTGAGGGAGGACGTCTGCACTTTACCTAACAAACTGGTGGAATACATGAAGTCTTTGCTGCCCAGCAGCTACGTAGCAGTCTGCAGCCACTCTCCATCCACGGACCAGCTGCCAGATGTCCAGAGGACCGTCTGTTACCTGGATGAAGAGCAGAGGGACTGGAGAGTCCTGACTCATCTGCCCTCGACCAGCAGCACCACCATGGCAGGTGTGGCGGTTCTTGATAACAGACTCTACATCGTTGGAGGCGTGCACGACATGAGCAAAAAGGTCGTTGAGACAGGTTTCTGTTATGATCCTGACACAAACACATGGTCAACCATCACCGGACCTCAGCAACTCCGCTACAACCTCACCCTGATCGGACACGACGGGTGCTTGTACGCTGTTGGAGGGGAGTACAACATGGCGGCCATGTCGTCTGTGGAGAGGTACTCTAACGGGAGCTGGAGTTTCGTTTCGGGGCTGCCGATCCCTGCAGCATCAGTGGCCTCTGCCGTAGCCATGAACAGGATGTTCATCTGTCTGTGGAAGGGGAAAGGGGCCACAGATATTTTAGAATATCAGCCTGAACCTGACCAGTGGTGCCTGGTTACCACGCTGACCCGCCATCAGAGTTACGGCCTTTTCATGGTGGCTCATAATGACAATCTGTACGTGATGAGAAACGGACCAGGCACTGACTTCTTACTCTGTATGATTGACTGCTACAACTTGACCTCGGGACAGTGGACGGCCATGTCTGGTCAGTATGGGAACAGTAAAGGTTCTCTGCTGACCGCTGTGGTCAGAGGAGACTCGGTGTTCACTCTCAGCAGACAGGTGACCACAGAGTACACTGTGGACCTGAACAGATGGAGACGAAAATGTGAGATGCAGGGATTGGGCAGAATTGGATCCATGTACACATTCCTCATGAGGCTCCCTAAAGCCCTGCTGGCTGTCAAAGGAAGTGGCTTAAGTTCAGCTAAGGACCATAATGTAAAGCATCTCAGTAAATGGTCAAAATTATCTCCACGGTGCTCACCATAAACTTCTGTCTCTGTGAGGATTTGATATTGTTGACTTATAGAAACAAACCAAATCTTACTGAATCAACAACATAATTATAATGTAGCAGAATCACATGTGTCAAACCGTATCTTTACTTGAATATAGCGATAAAACGTTTGGGTAAAAGTCTGCTAACGCTGCACATCCTGGAACAACTCCTTCCCCTGGTCTTTGCACATGACTTGAGATCCTGTTTGTTAACCTGATATTTGTAACAGTTGACGATTCCCTTAAGCCTGACTTCAGCCCTAGTTGCAGCGTAAGAAAGACAACCCTAGAAATGATGCTACCACCTCTGAGCTTAACAGGCCAACAACCAAAGGTCAAAGGTCAACTTTGGTCTCGTCAAACTGAGATACATGATGTGTGTGTTGTTTCTTTATAGTCAAAAATGCACCAGTTTTGCAACTTTTTTTGGTCTAGGCCAGTGATCATCAACTGGTGGCCCGGGGCCTGACCCACGACTGGATTCCAAAATAAAAATAATGTTTGATAAAAATGTGATTTTTTTTATTTTGTTTTATTTGCATGTCCGGCCTCCAAGGTGTCCAGAAGGATTCTGTCCCTTCGACAAATATAGTTGGTTTGGTCAAACAGTTTCTACTGGAATATTTCAGTTGTTTTAGTTAATGGTCTGTTTTTCTCTGTCACTTTTTCATCCATTTTTTGTGTAATTTTCTTCACTTTCAGCCAATGCCATCACTGTAACTGGTCATCACTGGTACTGTCAATCTATGAGAGCACACCACTGATTGTTGAGTATTCTTGTGTCTTATTTTATTATTTTAAAGTGAAAGATTTTTTTTTTAATTAAGGGTCGAGCACAAACTATTTGTTAAGGAGGATGTTACCCCAGAGTGAAAACACCAGATTTATAAAAACTATAGGTTCTTATAAAACACATTTACTTCAGGTTGATATGAACACGACTTTTATTTTTATTATTTTATTCAAAAACACTTTTTTAAGTCCAAAGAAAATGGTTCTGTAGTTATGCGTTTGTAGTTTTTGTTATGCTACGCGTGCTATTAG